TATTCAGTGTACAAAGTGAATAATTTTCTTGCTTAAATTGAAAACTTTAGGGACTGACAAATCCAATTTCCTTTTTGTGAATATCAGAAACAATTTGATAATTCAGGAGCTTTCCTGAGGCTACCTGATTCATCTTTTACTCAACTAATCATAGAAGCAACAATAATAATAAGTGGTTTGTATTGTAACTCATTTCAAACCTGAGATACAAATGGCTCTCTTATTCTTTTCTTCTAGAGAACAATATGAGGATGCAAGTAAAAATTTGGGAACGACAGAAATAACTTCTTATCACAGATCTCATCCGGTATTCACTGCAGTCAGCTGGTGCTTACTGACAATAATAGTTATTAGATAAGAATATAAAGGTCTCTATCTAAAAAACTGGATGAACCAAGAAAAAAAAAAACAAACCTCAAGCCAAAAGCCCACAACTCTATTTACCCCCGTGTTTAATTTACAACTATAATCTATAAATTCACAGGCAGAAAAAGACTTTAGATGTGTTGTTCTTTTTTCCCCTCAACTCAGCGCCCCCAAGAACCTGCTTCGATGTAATTGGTTCCAAAGCACCCTCAATTCTAGCCCTCAGTGTCATTTTATTATGCAGGCAACTGTTTCATAACCTTAGTTGAAGGTTTTCTCTAAATATGATTTATGATACTTCTGTGGAGTTTGGAGTTAATTATTTTGAGTGGCAACTGCAAACAACTACCACTACTTGTTTTATCTTAAGAAGTTGATTTAAAGATGTTGCCTTTTCTCATGGTTATTTGACCATACACTTAAATTTTGCATATTTATTTTCCATAAGCTATTTGTGTTGTATAGTTTATAGCCATTAAATCACTCAATGACATAGTTAATAATTACTAGAAGAACAGTGAGAGAAACCATGTGATTATCTGAGGTTACGCAGAAAATTTAAAACATCCAGAGCCATCAATCTATCCTCTTTCAGAATCAGGAGTTTACTTTTAATCTGACTACCTGAAAGGTCTTCTATCATTATGAAAACATCTTTCTATCATCATGAGAAAGTCAGTTTTATTGGACAGTACACTTTATTACATTATACAGATTTAATTTGCTTGGACAACGCAAATCTAGAACTTCCAATGAAAGGAAGAGAATCCACATTGACATGAATGTAAGATTTTTTATGCAAAATCACGAAATAGCAGCAAGCATCTATACAGAAGCTTACTTTTGGTTCTACTTGAGAATGAAATAAATGTTTTCAGACTCTAACTCCAACTTTAAAGGTAAAAACGTTTTATGCCATTTAATTCATTAATAAAAACTAATAAAAACTAGCATGAATATTGCTTGGCACAGTCATTTCTTAATTTCTGACATAGAACATGATCTAATCCATTCTTCTATAGCTTTAAAAGGTTCCTAAGGAGAGAGGAGTAGTAGATTTTTTTAGGTCCAGAAGAAACAGCAGATCTGGCGTCTTATCAGCAGTAGATATATAATTGGTTAAAACCAAAGATAAATTAATAAGTTTCATTATACATTTTTATCTTGAAACTTTCACTGTAGAAAAATTCACTAATGGCCTTACTTACAGAGAATGAATGCCTGCCAAAAAAACCAAACCCAATTTACCAGTGATGTACTGCCAACAAATGGTGATTCACTGACTGAGCAAGCGAATTAACAATCACTTTCCCTACAAAAACAGTAGGCAAAAATATAACTTGGCAGAATCTCCCTCCTGTTATTGTGGACTCTAATTAGCATAGTCATATAAAAAGATTGGGATTAAATATGTCAAGGTCTCAGAATTGTTTGAATTCCTCTTTGCTTAATTAATCCAAATATTTAAATTATCTTCTTCATGTAATTTGGTGTTTCAACCAGAATTCCAGTGATAGGCACGTAAAATTGCTATTTGCAGACTGATTATCTAGCTCACTTTTAAAACCTGACACTAAAATAAAGATGTAATCTCTTTATGTCAAACATCTTTAAGAAGTCACCGCCCCTGTTAATTAGCCAAGCACGTATCCTGTTCTCTCACTGATCACCAGATCTCACATAGCACCCAACTCAACAGGTTTCTCACTTCGCTCTTTATTGGCGTATCTATAACATTCATACAAACTACATTTCAGCTAAAATATCTTCCTTACTTTTCCTATAGTTTGTAAAATTAAAAAGAGATTCTTTTTGGAAGCTACAGTGATCAGAAAGCTCACACAGTGTCCAAAATTTAGCTCTCTAAAAGTCATGTTCAAGTATTTCAGAAAATAAACGCTCCTGTATGACAGGCACTTGCTTGTCATGATGGTATTTCTCCTGAGTACTCTGTAAGCTATGGTCCTTGCTGCACTCATTGAGTGCTCCACACTCAATTCAATTTTCACTCCAGTTTTCTTTCACTGGACAAATTCTACTTTTCCCTATTTGTTAACTTTTGTAACAAGAATTAAGTGCCCCTAGAAATACATTCTTTCTTTCCTTTACTAGGATGGAATTTCAGCACAGCAGTGAGGACTGAGTGAAACCTGACTCTGTTCTTAACGGTCAAGTTCAAACACCTCCCTGTCCTCACACCTATGAAAACTGCAAGGCAACACTATTTACAAACAGGAAAAACAATGCAAGCTGGATCCGCAAGTCTAACAGCAGAAGTATGATATTTACCACTGAGTCCAAGCACAGGCAGGTAGCACTGAATCCAATAGCACATGGAAGGTATCTTCCTTGAATCCACAAATTATAGAAACAATCTATTTTCCCTTTTCATGTTGAAACAGATTGATATTAATTCTGAATTCCTTTCTCATCTGCATTTCTGTCCTAACACATCGACATTTAGAGAACTGCTTTCATGATGAATCACTAAATACAAATTAGAATGACATTTGTCTCTTGCTGGACTTTTTAAGCACTTATTTGCTACCTGCATATGTTAACAAGAATCTTATGTGGTTGGCTGATTTGTCTTTTTTTCAAAATGATTTGAGATCCAAAAAGACAGATCTTATAACGTTTGTACTATCATAATGTTGAAATAAATCTATAATTACATTGTATTCTTGGCAAGAGCTTGAAGTAACATCAATATTCTTTATAAGGTCTCCCAGAGAAAGACTCCTAGATACACAGCAAATTGTGGGTACCCATGGGAACATGTGAAGATCTCTGCCAGGCTGCTCCATCACTGTCATAATATTTGACGTGAATTAGAATTCTGGCCAGCACTCAGAATCAGTAATTCCTATAAATCTTTTCAATGTCACAAAAAGTACGACATTGCATTAATTAAATATTATCCTACAAACAGAATTTTACAGATTACCTTACATGCATTTTGTCCTTTTCTTTTTAAATGGAGCTCCAGGGTAAACATGCAGAACAGGTACATTTGCAAGAATACAGCCTTACACATTAAAGAAACAGAGATGAAATGGAGAGTGTATATAGAAGAAAAATACTGAAACACTAGTCATGTTTAACTAACCACTAATTCACTTGTAAAAGGCAGGACTCCTAAGAGAGGCTGTGTCGGCACTTCTGGATAGTACACAATGGCCATTACTAGAATTATAAAATACAAGGAATCATATCCAAACTCACCACAGAATTAAAGTGGAAATAGATTTCTTTTTTTCTGAAACTGATATCACGTCTGTCACACTCCCACTAGTATGGTCTTAATAGAATAAAAGAATTATATCTTAACAAAATGATAGTCAGATAATAAAGACAGTTGCTGCTGCACAGGTCTAGAGTGTTTACAGTTTGGAATGATGGTCATGGATTGTATGCTGAATTCAAAGAAAGAAAATAAAATTAAAGCAAGTAGGTCAAGGACCTGAAGTAATAAATTTATTCCTGTCAAATAGGAAATACCTTTTCTCATGGAGATAGGTCTTGTGACACCAACAAATTAGCAAAAAAGATAGACACCTGTCAAAAGAGCATTTTTGCAAACACGATAACTATTATGTGTAATAGGATTGTAAAAGACATATCCAGAAAACCTGTAGACACTATAAACCATTGTTCAGAAATAAAAATAATAAAAATCTTTTTCTTTTTATCCTGAAATTATCATCTAATCACTGGAGAGGAAAAGTGCTTAAAACATTATTAAGAACCAATTTGACCAATATTATTGATTTAGTTTGATAAAAACTGCCAAGCAGTATCAGTCTTAAGGTCCACTTAATTCAAGCTGATACTTTCTGCAGTGTGTAGTACCAGCTGCTTCAGAGGCAAGTCAAAGAAAAATCAGAATAATGTAAAGAATATTACATTGGCAAATTTATAGAAAAAGCATCTAAAACCCATGCTTTATGAAATTCAATTAGAAGTCTGTTTCATGCATTCTATTTTAAATTGCTTTCACATACTAGTACGTATCTGATATTATTATAATTTCATCTTAAGTATCAATAAATACATCAATCTTAGAAACAGCAATGAGGTCATTAGTTTAAAATCTACATGCACAGACAGCAGCAGAACTATGCAATATCCTGACTATACACAAGTCACAAAGATGTAGGTGAGCTCTGATCCTGACATACATGCACTATATATTAATAGAGTAAGGGTTATACTCTCCCCATGTGCACCACATTACAGCTGGTAAACATACAGACTTAAATACATTATGAGAAAAAGTCTGTAAAGATCAGATAAGGAAAAAAACCTCTAATTTTTGATAATGAGCATAAAATATGCTTCTTTTAAGTTGCAAAAATGTACAAAAGCTGCAGGGAGTGCAAGTTTGGTGAGATGACTTGGTATAATGAAAAGCTGAAGCATGTAAGTTACTCCTTCCAATCTCCTAAAGTGCTTTGTGGTTTTTAAAATCAAGTTTAACCTGCTTACTTAGTAAAAACTGTTTATGTATATTCAAGTTAAACTGCTTAAACAAAATAACGTCCACCTTTAATTACTTAAACTGAACCAGTATCAAGGGGATTATCTGTGCAACCTCATAAACCATACAAGAAAGAAAATATGTTATTTCTAACCTCTGCTGCCAGTTGCTGAAGAGAAGGGGATGCAATAGGATGCAAAGTTGAATTGCCTCTGACTGGATTATGGAGGCTAACATAAGCCACAACATTTCTCTGAAGAACTCTCTTGAGATCCTACAACACAAGCAGAGCAACAGTTATTACTGCACATGGTTATAATTAATTGTTTTATCATTTCCTTTCCTTCTAGGGAAAAACTGCACCCTATGATTCTGTCCTCTGTGTTTCCCTAAGTAATACTTACCTACTGTTTTTTACAATATACTGTTAAAAACTTCAAAGGATATCTTAGTGTTATTTCTCTCTATAGCAGAAGTTTTAATTCCATTTCACACATCAGCTCAACAAAATGCAAATAGGCCTATGAGGAATTAAAAATAACTACACTTGTAAGGCCAAAAATGAAAACATTACATACTGTGAAACAACGTGAAGGCCTTTTACACTTATGCCTGACAGAAGACAAACTTCAAAAGCAATCATTATCAACAGTTAAATGTACTCTAATTTTTAGAGAGCAAATTCAGATTTAAATTGCATAACTTTCTCAGTGTTGTCACTTTATTATGTCTCAGACTATGAAAAAAGTATGTACAACCTGTTTCAATTATTATCTTTTTTAAAAAAAAAACAACACCCTTTGCCTTCTCAGTAATGAGTTACCCTTGCGTGAAGTGGCTCTTCTTATTGAACAGAAGGGGTGTAACACAATTACATCTGATGTAAAGCTGACTTGAAGTGGAACTAAACAGATTTTGCTTCCAGCCTGGATCTTTTCAATTTGATTTTTTCACCCCCTCTTGTTTTTGAAGAATAATCGTTTTGGAAGTATGAAACTTCAGTGGGAGCTAGCTGCTTCTCAAGCATGATAAAAATAAATTAACTCTTCATTTTCTCTACTGTTTTAATTCCGCAGCCATGAACATATCTGTTAGCTACTCCTTTAATTTATCAAGTAAAATCAATTCCATTCATATACAATCCACAAGACTGATGAGGTATTTTGTTTCACTGAGCTGATTTATATTCCTCTGAATGGAAAAGAGCCCAAGGAATTTTCCTTGTCAGATTGCAGCTAACTTTTAAGCACAAATATATGAAAAGTGAACCAGTAGTAGTCATGAGATACTGAAATGTTTGTGTAGTCAATGCAATGGTTCTTCTCCTTCTATCACATGTACTCTGCTCCACAGAAACTGCCTTTAAAGATGTTTTCATTGGATGTGCTGTGGAATGTGTAAACATCCACAGACAGCTGTCACAGACCGGTTAATAAACAGTAATTTCTATATTCTAATTTCATACTACTTCCATATTTTCAACAAATGTAGTAATAATTGCAATGTTTTCTTCTAACTTTATTTTACCTCTGCCCACTCATATGAACCAATGTTCCCAAACGATGTTCCTCCCCAGGAGCAGAACACAATGGTCCGGTCAGTTCTCCATCCTTTCTTAACTTTTAACATCAAAGCCTGTATAAATGCTGTTATGATAGCAGTGCTACTAGCCCATTCTTGTCCACCGTAAGTATTCAAACTGCTGTGATGACTACCAATGATGACGTATCTGTCTGAAACAAAAAAAGAAAAAAAAAAAAGAAAGAGAAAAGAATCTTCCTATGCTTACTGGCATTAAATGAATTACAGAAATAAAAGATGAATTTTCTTAGTAGTCTGTATTGCCATTAATACAATACAACGCTGCTGACAAAAGCTTTTATGGTCATGTGCAAGACAGTCATAGAGTAGAAATGACTGTGAATACTACTTGAAAATAAATTAATAAATATTTGTACTTTCCTAATTTCACCCCATGCCCTTCTCTTCATTGCTTGCTTAGTACTTTCTCTTCTTATAAATCAGGTATACGCCCCCTTTTACAGCCAGGACTTTGAGATACAGGTAATCTAATAAAGTTCCATGCTTGTGTTAGTGTTGTTTAAGAAAAAAAAAAACAACAACACAAGTAACTGGAAAATACTATCTTCAATACATATGAGTATCCAAAAAAAAAAAGAAAACAAAAGGTGTGGCAGTACAATGAGTAATATGGAAAAAATACACAAAGTATTAGCACTCCCTCACCTGGAAGACTGTGTTCAGTGCTCACCACCCTATCTCAAAAATGACATTGCAGAAACAGCAGTTGAGAAGTTGGTAACCAGAATAGTTAGATATCAGGACTTAGACTTCCAGGTAGGGAGATATTGAAAAGACCTGGACTGCAGGTTTAGAGAAGAAACACGACAGAGGAATAAAGACAGTGAATGATACAGAAAGGTAAGTCAGAAATAGCAATTTTGGTGATACTGGAAGAAAGTTTTTTATACAAATTTTATAAAATGAAAGGCAATAAATTTCAACCTGAAATAAAGAGCACTTACAATTATACAGAGAAAAAGCAGAATAAATCATATTTCATTCAGAAAAATTATACTAGATATTCATCTCTTGAGGACTATCACAGATTCCAAATATTAACTCTCAAGTTTAAATCAATACCTTTTCTACCAAAAGAATGATGTGGTATGAAAAAAAATGAATTAGTAGTGTGACTGATGTGTTTTAAGAAGTCCATGCAGGTTCTGCTGTATGACTTGTTCAACTGTAAGAGCTTCTGTATGAGATGGGTTCACAAAGAAAACACCTTTGACAAATTACTAATTGAGCGTATTCTGATACATAGTGAAAATCCTCTCTCCAAATCTCAACTCTTATAGATATTCTTTCCATATTTCAGGGCACGGAGAGAGACCAGGAGAACAGTTATCATAGATTCATAGAATGGCTTTGCTTGGAGAGGACCTTAAAGATCATCTAGTTCCAAATCTGTAATGATCTCTGGGCATCATATGGGTTTGAAAGAGTGCAAAGTGTTTTGGTTTTCTGTTGGCATTCTTACTTTATCCAAAGGAATTCATTCTTCACTGATGTCAGTACACTGCGATGTAGCAATAGAAATAAGTGGTAAAATGCCCAGACTTTATACTGCTTATAAAATTAAATATTTGCTCCTTGAGAACTTCTTGCAGTGACTGCTGCCTGAAAAGATTTCTTTAACTGAACACCAATAGAGTTTGATTTTAAAACCATTCCTTATCTTTATTAGAGTTAAGATATACTGTCATAACTTTAAAAAGTAGTTTCCTACTAAGAATGCAATAATAAGGTATACAAAAGATGAAGAATTTATTAAATAGATACTGATGCATTTTTTTCATTATTTGTCTTGCTTCAATTTCACAGTACAGCAGACAGTATGTCTAAACATGACAGTTACTATGTTTCAAATCCTAGGACTGCTATTTACAAAACATTAGTAAGAGTAGGCTAGTAACTTCAAATTATTCTAAGACATTAAATCTTTTACTGAAACTAAATCCACTCTGCTAATTATTTTCTATCTTGCTTTAAAAAATAAAATCATTCTAGTGAAAAGTGCAGCACTGAGCTCACAAAAAAAAAATCAGTTATTAATTCAGTAACAGGTATAAAAATTAAGATTTGCTGCCTTCCTCATTGTATCACTTAAAATATGAAATGAGTGGTCCTGGTCCTAGGAGACTATAGATACATTTTCACCCTTTCTTTTAAAGATGGTAAAAGCATACTAATCAAGGGAAATCATGGTCTTGATGATGATGTGATCTACCCAGTATGAATTGGATTGGGTCAACAACACTTGGCAATAAGTCAGTAGTCAGGAACAGTGTTCGTTAATGATGTAGAAACACTTCAACTTTTAGGCAAATTTAGTCACATACAGAATATGCTCAAGATGATCTTGATTCCTATGTTGTCCTCGTTACGTTACCTACATACAATATCAAAGGAGGAAGGAGTTTTTTGTTTTATACCACAAATACCCTTGGGTTCTCAATGCTTAATTCTGAAGGCATACAGAACAATAATTATTATTCATAGAACTGTATAAACTAGCTTAAGGCATGAGTCTAACACAAAATAAGGCTGAGAAATTGTGGTGAAGAACTTAGTCACAGATTTTAGTACGCTGCAATCACATTTGATAAAACGTGCTTAATTAAGGCAGAGATCAGGCTGCTCAGGCACTTTGGTTCCAGAGAGGCGTCTGAGTTATGTAGGGACGTTGTGGACTGAGTCATAGTTTTATTTAACTCAAAATTCTGCTAAATTTACAAAACAAATCAAAATATATTCTCAAATCTTATAGACAACTCATGTATTAATTCAAATTATGCAATATAGCATATCTCATAATTAAAAGCACCAACATAGCTACATGTGCATTATATGGCAAAGTAGAACCCCAACCTCAGCTATGACTCCCAGTCATTGTGAAACAAATAATCAGTTCAAATGATGAAGGACTACTTACCAGGAAATACAGATCCTTTCAAATATCCAATAACATTAGAAATTGTCTTGTACGTTGTGACAGACTGAATACTGAGACTGATTATTTTTTTGTCTGTTAAGAGATACAATGAAAAAAAACCTCAGAAAATGTTAAGTTTCTGCCTATGCAGCCAAGACATCTGCAGACCACAAAAGTAAAACAGATATAAATCCCTCCTAAAAAAAAAAAGAAAGAAAAAAAAAAGAAAAAAGAAAAGAAGGTTGAAAAAAAAAAAAAAAGCAAAGAAAAAGAAAAAAAGTTACCAACAAGGAATCAGAGATTGAAACGTGGTTTACTGTGGCATTTCCTTAGATAAATTTTAGCAGCGAAGATTAAACTTGTAATCTTAAGAGACGTTTCTACTCCTTAAGGTAAAAAAAAACATTAAATTCACCCAATAAATGCTGACAGAATACAGCAGTAAAAACCCAGCCAACCAAAATCAGAAATAAAACTACAAGTAGGATTAACAAAATTCTGTGATAAAATTGTTTTAATCTTCATAGGTTTCCCTAACTTAAGCCTTTCCCCAGTTCAATCTTTCTCTAACATTCACAGAATTATACCTCATTTACATGACATTACTGTGGAAAAAAAACAACCAAACAAGAAAACCCTAACAAGAAGAACAGAAGAAACGTATGCTAGATGACATGGGAACAGGTACACATTCATATTAGTAATCACTGTGCCAGCATAGCCTTTGGTGACATCCTTATGCCAGCAGAAGAGTTTTGTTGGCTTAGCTGGTATTGGTTGAGGAAATGATATAAATACAAAAGTAAAAAACCTTGTAAAGCAGCCAGTATATATGAGATTTGTCATCACAACTGATATGTGGCACAGTGTAAGGCCAACAAAATGTGTTTGATTAAAAATAGTTACTTTTGTTTGTGTTTAAAGTCCAGCTCTGCATTGAGAATTATTGCCATTCCTTCTGTCCCCAGGTAGGACACATTAGGTACTCTGAGTCCTGGAGTTTGTGGCTATGGAACAAAATATCCAACTACAGGGCACTGCAGATACCTTTAAAATGTTGCGTTTGCATTATAATAGACTCTATTAACATTCACCTCATATGAAAGGTCATAACTCCTATCTCAGAAAAGCAAAATGTCTTAAACCATTCTAACTTAAATGCTAACAATTGCCTGACAGTGGCCATAGTGTCACCCTGACATCCCAGGAATGTGTTACACCTTAAGCACTGCATCACCAACAGCACATTGTGATTAAGGGCAAAGCTTCAATGCCCACATCCCAACTGTCACACACCAAAATTAAAATATTCCACTGATCGTTTTGCTCTCTATCACCTGGGCTGCTATCCTCCCACTGCACTGCTGACAGCTTGTTTCCTGGCTTTGCTTCCCAAAATAAGCCAAATATTACAGCAGAGAGTTTACTGCAACACGTAAAATCAAAACAATACATCTCCATGATACTTCAGGGCTCATTTGCTGGTACTTCATCTGGTAAATTTACTTTAAAATTCTCTTAAAATAAAATTCAATATATTTTCACTCACTCTCCTCCACTAATATTTGAGAAAAGCAAAATGATAGGTAGGATCTTTTATTTCATACAATGTATAAAGAATATTTATTTTATTTTACTCAGACAAAACCTTATCTGCTATCAAAAAATATCATCCTTTACGTGAAAACTGCAACAGTAAAGAATATGAAAGCCAATCAGTTCATTAAAAACAGACCCAGCATATTACTTTGCAATAGTTATCATAGCAAGTTAATAATAAGTTTGGGTTCAAGTCATAATTACCTTTTGCCTTCTGATGCAAGCTACTGCAAAGTTTATTATCAACATCATGATGAAATCATTGCTACACAAATCTGGAGATACTGTTCTAGAATTTTATTAAAACTTTAATTTAAAAATGCATTAATCTAGAGGGCTCCCAGCACTATAACTGGTACCTTTATTCATGTTTTGGTCATTTAAAGAAGTCTGAAAACAGCTCATGGCACCCATATTGATTAAGCAGGTTAAATTTAACCTACATTATGCAAGTTACCTCTAGTTCTAGCTCCTTACTCAGAGCCATTATAGAGCCTGCTTAGGGCTATATTTAATAGTCTGCTAGAAAAAATATTTCCAACCCCAAACTGATTTGCCTTCTTCTAGCCACAAAACTTCAGACATGTTTCTTTAGACCCCATTTCAAAAAAGATTATAAATCCTTTTGAAAACAAGCAACTTAACTCTCTTTTTTCCTTAATCAACATCAGCTATCTAGTCTTCAACTGACAAGGAAGAAAGAGGAAATTAATTTCAGGCCATGCACACATTCTGAAATCAGATAGTCAAGTTAACAGTCATGTACTGCAGTAGTCATCTTACAGTGACTTGGATTTAAAGGCTCAGTACATTGGATGGAAAAGCTGAAAGCACTCTTTGGAGTACACAGCAGAAGTGAAATTTAATCCCTTTATGACACTCCTGACAACAAATCTCACTTCCTAATACTGTATTTTAAAGGTACTGACAATTTTTTTCCCCATGTATTCTCTGAAAAATGAGAATTTAACTTAATACTACCCAGGATAAAACTTTGTGTAAACCAGAAGTTATTTCTGAAGTAGAAAAGTATTTACTTTTGTTGGTATTTTTATACATTTAAATAACTTGAAATCTGTAAATTATCTCATACCAAATTACTGTCATGTCTCCAAACTACCTGTTTTTAAAAATGCATGGTTATTTCCTATTCATTTGATTGAGAATTCTAAAACTATAGAATAACAATCTACTGCCTGGAGTCTAAGCTTATAACTACTGTTTACATGGGTTGACAATGACAGGACAAGGGGAAATGGTTTTAAAGTAAAGGAAGGTTTAGGATAGGTATTAGGATGAAGTTTTTCACTCAGAGGGTGGTGACACACTGGAACAGGTTGCCCAAGGAGGTTGTGGATGCCCCATCCCTGCAGGCATTCAAGGCCAGGCTGGATGTGTCCCTGGACAGACTGGTTTGGTGGTTGGCGACCTGCACATAGCAGGGGGGTTGGAACTGGATGATCTTTGAGGTTCTTTTCAACCCAGGCCATTCTATGATACTAAGTAATCAGGTGTGCCTCATTTCTTGTTTCACTTTGTCCCATAGCAATATAAAGTGAAGGCACCCCACCCAGTATCAAAGACAGTTACAAATTTTGAGAATGCTTCATATTGTATAGCTTCATTTTATAACTTTATATGAGGATTTCTTTTCCTACTTTATAGCAATTGAAACCAAAACACCACGTTCTAGCCCATATCCTAATAACATTCTCTCTCTCTCAAATATCAACAACAACAAAACAACAACAAAAAACGGCTTCAGAAGTGTACAGCTTTTCTGCAATACTTCATTCTTAAATTCCTTCTAATTGTCCATTTTTGAAGAAGTTCATGGGAGCACAGAATTTTAAGATTAATGAGGATTAACAAAAGAAGCACCATAATAAACAAAAAAGCAAATCTAATTACTGATTTCAACTAACACAAAACTAATAACTAACTTAATTCCCACTCTCCACTGTTCGGGTTTTAAGTATCTGATATATCTCAGATGTCTCCCTCTATGTTCTCCCACTCCCTCTGTCACATTATGTCTCTTGAAAACTGCAAGGCTAAGGGAAAAAAGAGGCAATGTGAGAAAACTATATATAAATGTTTAATCATTACTGATGAATCTGCTGCTTGGCTTTTTGAAACATACTGATGAGAGAACGATCATCATTTTATTCTAACAAATTTTAAGCCAACCAATCATCTGAATTGCTCATTCATCTCTTCTGACAAAAATAATGAATTCTATGTCAGATGTGAAATCTTTCCCTTAAGCTGTTTCAAATCAACAGGAAGGCCACAAATTCAGCCTTCACTGTTCTCATACGCCCTGCTCTGTTCAGCATACTTGCTGTAGTTATTGTTATAAAATAGTTATACAAGATTTCTTATCGTGAAAGCATTTTTTTTTTCTCTCTTCAGAGCTACTACTGAGCACTTCCAGAAATATGCTCCAGACATTGATAGCCATACTATTATTTCACAGCACAATGTATCATGAATGCATTATAGAATTAAGCAAGGCTTGTTGCGACAGAGCCGCCTGACTCAATATATTAAGATTAAAAAAGAAAAGGCACAGGAGTTACTGTGGTTAAAAAGCTTTATATGAAATTGGAAACAGGCTGCGGTGTTCACCAGAAAACAGGAGGATGTGGATTGACTCTTTCTAAACAGCCAGCTTGGAACATTCTTTCCAGAAATCTTTCACCACACAGAATTCCCGCCTTCTCAGGGAGGTAAAACAAACACTACGTCTGTCATACAAAAGGTAGAATAAGTTACCCCTCAGGTGATTCTATACTGCAGCCTCCAAACAAACCCCTTTGAAAAACAAACTCCTTGCAGCTTTTTCTCAAAAATGAGTACTTTTTCACAGCCCAAATTCATGACTTCCATCATGCATTTCAAATGTTGAGAATTCCTACAATGTTAGCAATCTTCACACATCCTAACTGCTCCTTTAAAAAAAAAAATATTTTATTGTTTATCCAGTCTTTGTTTACTGGTTATTGAGAAGATCAGCTCATCTTTAAAATATCTAGTCAGCCATGCATGGAGAGCAATAATTGTCCTAACCACAACAGCTGAAGGCACGAAGTGTGAGGCCTTACTGCCTTTACATTTGGCGTACATAACTACAAATGCTAACACAAGTCATAAAATTAATCAGCCTTTTTTATGACTTGTTTTATTGTATTCCTATTCCACAGTAACTTTCCAAAGGCAATAAATAAATGATACAGTGCATATGTTTGCCCTTAAAATTTGCTTTTACGATTATTATTGCACTTAGTGGAGGTTGTAGTGGCTAACTTAATTTGCCTCCCCAAGTCCAAGGCCATTGCTTTAAATCACTTAAAATAACAGGCATTATAATAAAAGGTGTATTTTTTTCTACACTTTTTTTAATGGTGACAGACTATTACAAAACAGAAATCAAGACAGAATCATTACTTTTGCATACAGCTCTTCTGAAATGCCATCTGAAAGGTGTTCCTCCCTTGAAACACATTGCATCACTTTTGTTGGAAGACCGTATTTTCACTTTTATTTTCCAAAAAAACCATAAATTTGTTCAGGCAATAATCTGTAAGAATTTGCTAATGGCATCATCTCTGAAGATGAATGCATCCTTTCTTTTCATCTTGCTCTATTCAAGTCATTTCATTTTTGTCATGATGACTGTTTTTCTGGTGAAACTTGTTGAGAAAGGTGCCTGAAGGTTTAGACAACAATACAGTGTTTATTCTACATCAGATACAAATTAAGGAACACAGAAAGACACAACACTATTTAGAATTATTATGCTAGTGGCACAAAAAAAAGGCACAGAATAATACTGCTCCCAGAGCCTTGATGTTTAAACAGTTCAACAAGGCCTAACAAACTGTAATAACTGCTCCCTAGTGAAGATATCTAAAGACAGTGGGATTTTTTTAGTCAATAGCAAGAATTAGAGCTTAATGCCTTACACTAAGAGGCTTCGTACTTCAGATATTGACTTATATTAGCTGAATGCTAGCAAAAGAGAAAAGTTATACCTAACTACAGTAAGGTAGCCAATGATAAAGGAACAAATGTCTTTTTTGAGAGCATAAGTTCTATTTTTTTATAACCTCTTCTAGAAAGCAGCTATGCAAAACATCTTTATAATCAGTTAAATCTCATGGCAATACATTGTTCTAGAAAACAAATGTGGAACACTTGAAGAATATCTCACAGTTAAGAGAAAAACAAAACAAAACAAAACATTTGAAAAGCATTACCTGTACTTGACATTTGCACAGGTACACACTTGTCTTTTTGGACTCTATTCTCAGGTATGGAAGCGAGTTTTTTGGCAAGTGCTGCAGAAATTGGTTGCACTAACAGTGTGGTGAGGTTCAGTCGATGTTGTCTGTAGTTTCCATCTTAAATGGCAGAAAGAAAAGAGCAATTTCGTTAATTATAATTAAGAATTTCTGAATAAAGCATAAACCAAGTGAAAAACCAACCATCTACAATACAGATTAAGACATCTAATTTAGATAATCAGCCACTACTTTCTTCTTACCTTACTGAAAAAATATTCCTTTAAGAACGTTTACCTCAATATTACATGTAGATGTTACATTAAGTAGGGAATAGTTCCACAAGAAAAAAGCTTTTCAGAATCCAAGCAGATAGTAGGTTGTGTGTGATTTAACAACAAAAAAAGAAATTACTGTATAGTTAAAGGAATCAGCGAGCAACAGAATTACTGATCAGCAGCAATTTTCAAATTCAAGAAAGAACTGAACACAACATCACAGGGAAAAGCAGATATTTAAACTGCTTGAAATCAAACAGAAGTATCTGCGTGCACTGAATGATGTTGCTACTGATAAACTTGTTTACTTTGCTGCAGATGTGAAAATATTTAAATTTATAGAAGTTATGCTACTTAGCAATACACGTTTAAGAGGAGAGCCATTTTCACACAGAAAGCTTTTTTTTTTTTTTTGTGAACTCTGAAAAGAACACACCACAGAGGATGCAAGTTGATGAAATACTACACGCTGATGGAGTGTGGTTCCTTTAACATACAAAGAAACCTGGAAATTTGAATATACATATTCCATTTCAAAGAATACAGTTTGATCATCTCATTGACTCAATGAGTATTCAACACAGCTGAGGTGACTGCCTTATTTTATAATTGCAGTTGTTTTTATGATGGAAGGTTGAAGGTGAAGATGAAAGAGGTGTGGAATAAAAGCACATTGAACAGATAGGTACATATCAAGTGGAAGAAGGTACACTTCAGAAAGCATCAGAATATTTCATTTACATCTTTAAGATCTTTAGAAACAACAGCATAAGCACCACTGTAGCTGAAGATTTAAGCATATTTTAAAATGTCTATTTGAAAATAAATGAGTTTCCCTATACATCTGCCAACACTGAAGCATGGGAAGATTTCTGGAGATAACAAGACATGTTAGGAGAACAACTGACATAACTGGAAGGGAAGGCAAACTCCACAAATGGAAATGCTCTAACACACTTTGGGACAAATCATTCATATATTTTTCCTGAATATTTTAGTTGGTCTAATAAAAGCACTGTATCTTCCCAAGGAAAGCAAAAATCATCTTGCAGATGAAAAGCCCATCATGGGAAAGGAGAGGAAGTTCACAGTATGGGGCAGAAACCAGCTCTCCAAAGCTCTAAAAGCCTTCTAACACACCTGCACAGATGGAATAATTCCCAAACTTCCATCCAGAGATTCAGGTTACAAAGTCTATCTCCGAAACATCCATGCAACAGATTTTTCTGCTGACATGGACTCAGTTACAGCTGGGAGGTATCCTTTACATTCTGTGTGACTTGCAATCACAAGGGGAAGAAGCTATCAGAAATCAGCAGCAAATGTTCTAATAAACTTACAGAAAATTCCAAGCAGATGTGTTGTTACTGAACCGCAGCATACATAAGCACATGCACCCTCCCTCTTTTGTTTTATTTTTTGTGTCAGAAACTCCCAAGACATCTTCCAACTTGCCCTCAATCATAATGCAAAAATCAACCGACGCTTTAACATTTAATTATGGAGAAAAATCTGTTATTCATCTTCAATACATAGCAGAGATCTTTTCAGTGTTCACTTTTTATAAGTGGAACAATGAAACTGATCCAAAAGTGATAATTCAGAAGGGTTTTTTTTTTTTCTTTCTTGTCTCATCAAAGCTGGATAGGGCTGAAAATCCCTGAATGTTTCTTCAGTAAACTGATAGCAAATTCAATTTGCTCACGCTTTAGCAGTCTATTTCTAGAATCAAAAAGAAGCCTGAAATGCCCATCCAAGTAATGTAACTGAGACACTATTTTGTCTACCATTTGTCAATCTGCAGACTATATTACAGGAGCAACGAACCTCAAAATGTTGTAAATGAAAAGCATCTATCCCTTCTCCATTTATCCACAACTTGAGCGTCACACCTGAATAGACTGTGAAAAACACACATAGGAGAAGAACTCATAGGAGAAAACTTCTCATGTTTAAAAAAATAAATCATTTTAAGGTATAAAGTACAGTTTAATGGGTAGGACAAAAAATATTGATCTGAGCTACAGAAAGGGAGATTTACTTTATCTGGAAGAAAAACTTCTGAATTGTAAGAATTCACAACTACTTGTGTCAACAGGAGGTACAATATCTAACAGCAGTCAGGTGTTCATCTCTTCTCTGAGGCAATGTGCTAGATTAGATGTCCATCTGATATCTGTCCATCTGGATTCTATGAATCCTTAACAACTGAAAAGCTAATTTAATTAAGGAAAAAAAAAAAATAGAACAAATACTAAAGCGCTTTAAGGAAAAACTTTGGAGTTACTTTCCCTCTACCAGCTATTTACTAGCAATCACAAGAGCATCTTTGTCCTATGAGATGTACACAAAGTCATCTGCATCATGACCAGGAATCAAACAAGAAAGATGCAAAACCTATTCCCCATGTGAATTGCAGTTCGTATTGAATAATTTTGAGACTTCCTGAGCTGAAGTCTTCCAGTTTGTTTTTAAATCAGAGGCTTGGTCAAGTATCAACTGCAAAACACAACTCGACTTCACAAGGAAACTGACAACTAAGAACTTTGTGACGTTCTCATATCATCTTTCCCTGCTGAATCCTCAGAGAACACAGCACTTTCAGGATCTGGGAACCCAACAAATGCTTTGAGAATAATTTAATATTAAGATTTTGCTTGTAATTAAAATTTCATTTTATAGCATCAAAATAGTTCAAGAAACAGAATTCCTTACTCTGCAATTCTAACAATACAACTGTGCAAGGCCTAAAACTGCTATTCCTTTAAGAAGGACTCCAGAGAATACTTTGCAGTGCAGGAAGAAAAATACATTAATCAGTTACTAAGTTTATTTGGGGAGTGGAAAAAGAGGTAATCTTTAGAAAGTTTCTGACACAGAGCAAGAACTGCACTTTTCCAGTGACTTTGTTTTGGGTTTTCTTCTTTACCGTAAATACAGACGAACCCATTTCCTGCTCAGTCTGGGTTGCACACTTGTACCCTAACATTTTACAATGTTACGTCATGTAATCTACTGATGTTAGTAACTTATTCTGAGATTTCTAAAAAGGCTTTATGAGGACAATTTAATGTGTTCAACAAGTGTTACTTATGCATCGTATTCCACTCTGGATTAAAGTACAATTTTATCATCACTTCAATGACCAGTCAAGCCTGAAATCAGAGCACAAGAAACAGAAGAGATTTAGTAAAAAATGTCATACTTCTCTATTCAAAAGAATTTTACTTTATCCACATCTTTTCCAGGGTTGCACAATTTGCCTTTTATTTGTAAGAGCTTATGGTATAGGAATCAACTTTCTGTTCACTTCTATTTAAATTCCACATTCAGAAAACACCATATTTCATCTTTAGCTGTTTATTAAGGTTGCCCTCTGCCAGGATTTGATAAAACAGAAAGTTAATAAATAAAACTGCCTAAGAAGTTTACTGATAAAATTCATTACCGTAATTCTGTCTATGACTTGAAACACTGTTTTAATGACCTCTCAAAAAAAAAAAAATTCCAAATAAAAAAAAGTCTGGCTGAACACTGAACTAGAATTGTATATGCCCACATCTTTGACTTTCTGTTGCATCAATAATAGAGCAGTAAAGTTTTGAAATACCTGAAGTGAATGGCTCATTAATTTTTCACCTTAAGCTTAATGGAAATTTGACAAACAGTTTTATGCTGAGAATAGAAACTCCAAGAAGGACTTCATAGCACAGTATGAGAATAAATTATGGTGTAAGGGACAGAGTGAAGTGTGTTTGGTCAAATAAGATGGTTCTCTCACTCATTCGCCTGGAGTGAGCAGTTAGTTCAATGCACGTCTGTGGAAGAGGTATTCTTCCACATCAGCATTCCTAGCACATCTTCTGTGTTCCCCTTTGTAAACACTTGATCTTGTATTAACCATAATCAAAACAAAGATGTAAAAACTGACATATCTCAGTTATTTGTACAGTTTGTACTTTGAATGTATACACCCTCACACAAGTGCACTTATGTCTTCAGCAGCTGTTAAGCTTCCACTGGATCTCATGAAGCTAGTCACAGTTTCTTTTTTCTCTGAATAGTTAACCTGTGGTTTTGCTGACCTCCATCTAGCCCCATGCCAAGACTGAAAGGATTGGACAGTGCTTGTTACAGCCAGACTCCATCAGCTGATCAGGTGACTAAGTCTTAAACCCACATTGCTATTATTAATAATAATTCTGCTACGCAGCAGCTATTTCACTGCATCTTCAGTTACTGTTGTTTATAAATATGTCCATAAGCAATATTACTAATAAAGACAAGATTCTCACATCACAAAAAAGCAGTCAATAACACTTCTAGTTAATATTGCTAGAAAAGGCTTGCACTGTCACACTGGTTAATTACACAGCAGAGGTTGAAAATTCTTGTTGCTTCTATTTTTGCACCTTGGTCTTCCAATGAATAGCTCCATTAAGTAACATTCTCTTAAGGCAACTCTTATTGAGTTCCTATATACTTTTCATTGGCTTTATTAGCAAGAGTGCAGTCATACCAAATTGCAGATTTGTTTCAAGAAGATTCTTTGAATTCAGATCCAGTCTTATCTCTGATAAAAAATTGTTCCTATCTGCTACAATTTTCAAAATCACTGAGTAAGATGTACATTTTTACTTCTTACAGTCACTTTTAGAACACTGTTCTAATAAATTGTTCTAATAAATTGTTTTTGTCTGTCCCTTTTTGCTTTAAATTGATATAGTGAGAATGCTTATTCAGACCAAAAATGTTGCTCTCCAAGCACTTTGGAAATGAAAACTCTGTGAAAATACTACATCTTCTCAACATTTGGATGTCAAAAGTCAAATATGTTATTTT